ATGTTGCACCATCTTCAGCCACATTGGCCACCTGACATCCAGCCACCAACATCCTTGCCCTGTCGAGGTGATGTGGGAGAAGGAGCCGGGCTGTGTGCAGGCCTCTTCTGGCCTTCGGTTGCTCTGGAGGGCACTTTATTTCAAAGCACTTGCTTACTTTCTTATCACTAAAACAAATCCAGGACTTCCCTGGTGGTCCAGGGGTTGGGAATGCATCTGCCAGTGCAGGGGACACGGGTTTGATCCCTGGTCCAGGAAGATTCCACATGCTGAGGAGTAACTAAGCCCATGTACCACAACTACTGAGCGCAAGCTCTGGAGCCGCAACTATGAACCCACGTGCTGCAGATACCGAAGCCCACATGCCTATAAGCCGTGCTCCACAACAAGAGAAGCCACCACAACGAGAAGCCCGCACACCACAACTAGAGAGAAGCCGCCACTCACCGCAACTAGAGAAAAACCTGTGCACAGCAACGAAGACCCAGCACAGCCAAAATAAATAAATAAAATAAATACGGAAAACAAATCCAAGAACAGATCCTGTATGTGTCTCCTGAGACATCTGAAACCAACTTGTTTGCTTATCACGGTGGGAGAAAGAGCCACCCAAGGGAGATCTGAAGGTCTCAAGTTTTCCTAAAAGAAAAGTGGGAGTTGGAGGATGCTGGGAGCAGGGGAGGGCCACAAAATCCCTGGGGAGGGTGGGCGAGGGTCTTGCCTCCCAGAGTGAATCAAGGCACCAGTGCTTGCCTTCTGCTCCTGCTAAGCTGGGAAGGTGAACCAGGCACCCCGGGTTCTATGCTGTGGTCTGATTGCCCCCCAAAATCACAGAGAGAAACTTGTTCTCCCACAGTTGTCTGCTGTAGATGTTTTGTTCCTGGCAGCCGGGCCACCCCAAAGCTCGTGTGGCCTCAGGACTGCCTGTAGGCAGCAAACCTACAAATCACCTTTAGGTGATAGGCTGGGTGCAGGGAGAGATTCAAGGCCCCTGTGGCCTTTGCTGCCCAGGGCTCCCCCCACCTAGAGCCCCATGGAAGCTGGTGCCAAAGGTGGTGCCCAGGGAACAGAGTGGAAGGGATGGGCTGGTCACCTCTCCTTGAGGTTCCATGGGGCAGAGACCGCTGAGAGCCTCAGGGCTCCAAGAAGGGTGCAGAAGAGGACTCGGTGAAGGGCTCTGAGCTCTGCCCCTGCGGCTCCACAGCTGGGTGAGGGGCACGTGGTCAGTAGCCTGAGTGTCTGGGAAGAACAAGGCCTGGACGGACAGAAGTGGTCTGACCAGTGGGGGGTGCACTGCCAGGCGTCTGGGCTCCCTCAGCACTCTCAAAGCGGCTGGAGGGCCCACTACCTGCTCAGAACCACCCAGGGCATGCAGGCTGCATCTGTCTCCACAGCCCGTCTGGACACCAGCCGAGGCCTTGCTGGACTGAGGGTGTTGAGACCCCTGACCTCAGCCCACTGCCCCTGTGTGGGTGTCTCCGGAGGACTGGAGACCATCCAGGAGGCCCATGCAGAGCTGCCTCAAGTTCTGTGGCCGCTGCGGCTTTGGGAATGTTCTCCTTAAGTGACCCTTTCCTGCCTGGTCCCCCTGGACCTCTGGACATTGGGGTTCAGGTCATGGGTCACTAACTCAAGTTAGAGCTTTTCTGATTGAAGTGATTTCTCTACCGAATACCACCTGGAAAACCTGAAGCTGTTTTCATGGATCTTAGATCTTTAGTCTGGGTGCCTTCCCTTCCATGTCTGTGCTGTGTTGGGAGGTGATGTTCTGTGCAGGTGTGTGTGGTGGGGTCGGAGGGAGGGGGTAGGGAGGGAGAGAGAGGGAAATTGTTCCCTTTGGTGTGTCTCTGTGTATGTGTGTGTGTGTGTATGTTTGTGTGTGCATGTGTGTATATGGGGTTTCCTAAGTGCCAGGAAATCCTGGTGGAAACTCTTGGGATTAGGGCAATCTGAAAAACCCCATTAATACCATGTAATGTTTCCTTCTCAAAGAGAAGCCTGTCTTCAAAATTCTTTGTTTTATTATTAATATTTCAGGGAAGGTTTTACTCCAGCTCCACGCAGGGTTACGCCGGTCCCTTTGCAGTGAGCTGAGCTTCCACCAGCCAGGACTGGGGGACGGAAGCCCTTCTGCTGGCCACATGGCCATCCCAGGGGAGAGGAAGCCGGATTTCAAGAGACTGTCTACAAAACAGTTTGAAATCTAGTATGTATGTGTGTGTGCGTGTGCGTGTGTGTGAGTCACAAAGTTGTGTCCGACTCTTTGCGACCCTGTGGATTATAGCCCGCCAGGCTCCTCTGTCCATGGGATTTTCCAGGCAAGAATACTGGAGTGGGTTGCTCTTCCCTTCTCCAGGGCATCTTCCCAAACCAAGGATCAAACCCGGGTCTCCTGCATTGCATTCTTTACCATCTGAGTCATCAGGGAAGCCTTTTCCTATCATTATGAGAGTTTAAAATTATTTGTACTATTTCTCAGGAAAATTATGTCCCACACATCACCCATTTTCCTTTGAGATCTGAGATGAGGCCGCCTCCTTGTGCCTCTTGGCCACTGCCTTCCTGGGTGTCTGGAGGCCACAGCCATGCAGTTAGGTTTGGGGATGGGGACATTGGTTGCCCAGTAATAGCGGGAACCACCCACCGTGGTCCGAGGAGGCCCGGCGGAGGGCTCCTCTCTCCCTCGGAGGATGGAGGGTTTGAAAGGCCCAGGCGGGGAAATTTTTGCTGCTTCAGGCCATTTCACTGCTGTGTTTGCTTAAATGTGCACCCACATCCTCTCTGAGTCTGTGAGCTGAAGTGGGGATAATGAATCTCCCACATTTAGGCTGTTTGAAACATCCAGCAGGCAAGGATGAAATTTTGATGTCACATTGGGTTGAAGTATTAGAACCAGGTGTGTTTCTGAATGTAGGATGGAGCTTTGAAATGGGAAGCACTGAGGGACAAAAGTGGGATGAAGTGAAAGGGAATCCTTGAGTTAAGGGTATTCCTGTCTGCTGGTCCTGACAAGGGGAAGAGTTCGCTGCAAGGCAGTGAATTCCATCTGGACCCTACACGGAGCTGAAATAAAAGCTAACCTAAAATATTAATAATAAGACAAAGATGTCGGAAGACAGACTTCTCTTTGAGAACAGACAATACATCTGCTTGCTTTTTCAGAAGCCTGCCACATAAAGATACTTACTTCACGGCTTAAGTTTGGTTCAGACACTCTAACAAACTTTTTTTTTTTAAATAAAAAATCTGGATCCTTCACTATTTTATTCTGCATCCCACAGAAGTGCAGTCCTGGACCTGGCCTCCTGGTGTTTTTATCCCCCACTGCCCCTCGGCTCCCAGACACACGACCAAGGAACCATGCTCTCTGCAAGGAAAGGCCAAAAGAAGGACCATCTTTCCATGCATCTTAAACCTAATTCTCCTTCACTTACATTTTATGCTCATCTAGAATGGAGAAGGAAATGGCAACCCACTCCAGTGTTCTTGCCTGGAGAATCCCAGGGACAGAGGAGCCTGGTGAGCTGCCGTCTTTGGGGTCTCACAGAGTTGGACACAACTGAAGCGACTTAGCAGCAGCAGCAGCAGCAGCAGCAGGAGAAAAAGTGTCTTTCTTTTTTTAAGTACTGTGCTAATTTTTATGATGGTTCTTTTGCTTTCTTTCAGCAATATATTTTGTAATTAAAAAATAGTTACTTTCAGAATGTCGGGTTCCCACTGGAAGCTGTAGACATCTCAGTGGTAGAGGTGGATCTGAGCTTCACCAGATCATGTCCACTGGAGAGAGGGAGAGCCGCTCAGTCCAGGCTGAGCCCACACGGCCGGGAAAGGGGCTGAGGAGATGAGGGCGAGCTGCCCAGCAATCCATGCGGGTCCCGGGGCCTACTGGGTGTGAGGTCTCTGCATTTCTTGGTGCAAATTTTTTTCCTCTAGAGTCAGGAGCTTCAAATGGCTTTTAAGAGTTTGCACAGATGACCTGAAGCTGCATCCTCTGTTATGTGGTCTCCACAGACATTTCTTAAAGCAATGGAACCCTTTTTTTGCAAATGAAATCTCATGGGTAACCCCAAAACAGAGGCAAAAGCAAACCCTGTGATGGACAGGGATGGGCCCCCAGGCATCCTGAGGAAGACTGACGCTGGGGACTTGGTGAAAGCGTGGTCTGAAGGGCCTGGCTCCAAGCAGAGTCTCTGGGGGCCACTTGCAAACTTGTGATGAAAACATGGACTAAGTGCTTCCAGCCCTGGGGACACATTGTCTTCATGGTGGAAACTCCATGTGGCATCTTCTGTCCTGATTGGTTCCTGAGACTGGATGCCTGCAGCCCAGGACCAGCAAGGACACGAAGTGGTAAGGATCTAGCATGCCAAGAGGGTCTTCAACCTCCTGGGGGCGGCAGCAGAAGCCGAAGAGTTCCTTAGCTCTGGCGGGACAGGTACAGAAGCCCAGACCATGCAGCTCAGGAAAAACATCAATTGGCTTCCAGCAGGGCCAGGATTTGTGCAAAATGTGGCTGGTCACTTCTGCAGGCTGGCTATGCTGTCGCAGTGATTTCCGGGACCTCGGGACAGCTGGGGTCTCACCTCAGCCTTCCAGACGGCAAGTGCGGAACCCTTCCAGGCAGCTGGGATGAACAGCCATTCAGACACGACTCTCAAGCAGAGGTGTCCGGTTCTCCACTTCTCTCACATGGGTGACGTCTGTCGGAATGTGGACCCTGTGGTTTCGGTACCTGCCTGCTCCTGGCCACGTTTCTTCCTATAAACTGTCATCTTTTGGCTCTCAGACCCCATTAGCCCCCAATGAGGCCATGGCACAAAGGCATTTGTGGGGTGTCACCAAGTTCCCGGAAACTCAGCTCTGGCCAAGTGTCAAGTAGCCGCCCCGCTGCAGAATGGGCTTGGCAGAGGTGCAGCTAACCCTTCACCCTGGCGCCCCCATTCCTGTCCGCCTCAGTACCAAGGCCCCAAGGACAAGGCTCCGTGCGAGTCTGGACCTACCTGCTCATTGATCTGACACATGGTGAGGTTCTGGTCGTCACAGGAGCATGCCACTCGGATGTACTTGAGCCAGCTGCCGGCCCCGGCTTGCTGAGCATCCACACAGAGCTTCCCGCTGTCCAGGTCCTCAGAGATCTGCCGGGCAAGAGAGAGAACCAAGAAAGCTCAGAGGCACCCTGTGTGCTAGAGCCGACGCACTCTGTGTTTGCCCAGCAAGGGAAGCCACCACTGGGGCTCATAGGAGGAAGGCTGTTCAGCCGCTGGATGTCAGCTGACCCTCTGGGCATTGGCGAGGCACTAGGCCCCCCCGGCCCGCCCATGCCCAAAAGCCTCTGGGAGGGAGCCTGGCGTAGAGGTAGGAGGATGGCCCTGTCTTTTCTCACCGAGTAGATCACTGCCCTGCCAGAGCCATAAAAGTGCCACCGGGGCTGCAAAAACTCCCCAGCGAGCCGCCCCACGTGTGAGAAAGCAGAGGCCGCTGTGTCCGAGAGCAGAGCCCTCTGCTGAGAGCTCGGGGTGTGGGCTGGGGATGAGCGATCTCGAAGGTGAAGGTGTGGTTGGGGTGTGGCTGCAGGCGCATCTCTGTGCGTGTGCCTGTGCACACGCGTGTGTGCCCGTGTGCGCATGTGTGCAAGTGTGCGTGTTCACAGCAGCCTGCAAGAAGGAGAACCGTTGGGTTTTCTTAAAAGTGGAAGTTTCCATCTGACGCTGGGGGCTTGCAGACGCCCAGCCTGCAGAGGCCCCGCGGGTTTGACCCGTGTTAGGTACTTTGTTGTTGCTGTGTTCTCTGAACATGCTTCTGACAGGCAGAGGCAGGGTGCTTCTCCAGCACATGCACCTCCGAGCAGGCCATCTCCCAGAAGACCTGACTGCTGGCCCTGCTGAGGGGGGCCTCCCTGAAGCTACTGGGCCCTGAGGTGGGAACTGTAGGCAGAGTTCCTCCCACCTGCTCTATCAGTGCCTGCTCAGAAATCCAGAGCCGTGGAGCCTAGTGGCACTGTGGGTGGACTTCCTGGGCAGCTGGGCTGGGAGGCTAGGAGGGGAGAGGGTGGGGCTGAGGCCACCACTACACTGAGGACTGGAAGTAGGTGTTCTGATGGGCAAGGATGTTTAGCTGGGCAAGGTGTATCCAGGTGGGCAGAATAGTTCAGGTGGGTAGGACTGTCCAGGTGGGCAGGGGTGTCCAGATGGGCAGAATAATTCATTTGGGCAGGATTGTCTAGGTGGGCAGGATTGTTCAGGTGGGCAGGGGTGTCCAGGATTGTCTAGGTGGACAGGTGTGTCCAGGTTGGCAAGGGTGTCCAGGTGGGCAGAACTGTTCAGGTGGGCAGGTGTTTCCAGGTGAGCAGGTGTGTCCAGGTTGACAAGGGTGTCCAAGTGGGCAGGGTTATTCAGGTGGGCACGTGTGTCCAGGTAGGCAGGGGTGTCCAGGTGGGCAAGGATGTCCAGGTGGGCAGGTGTGTCCAGGTGGGCAGGTGCATTCAGGTCGGTGGACAGGTGCGTTCAGGTGGGCAGGTGTGATAGGAGCAGGTGTCAGAAGGACCCAGCGAAGTCAGCGCAGGGGACTAACTGAGGAGGCTGAATACAGGTGCCACGGCCTCTATTCCCTGGGGTCTCCCCAGTGCCATCTGATGAACAGGTAAGAACCCAGGAAGGGAGGGAGGCTGCCCCTGAGGTCTGAGAAGCCCACTTCTGGCCAGAGAATCAGGACACTTTATAAACAGCTCAGATGCCTCCCAAACGTCCATGGACACTTTCTAAATGGCCAAGGGTCCTGCCCAGCCTGTGAGTCAGCAAGGTTTCAGGAGTTGGCCGCTTTGCTGTGGGTGGCCCAGAACCCGCCTGCAGTCCTTCTGTGTGACCACACCCCACCTGCTGGAGCCCACGGCAGCCTCCCAGTCACGACGAGTCTCCGAGCAGCTGCTGAGCTGACCTGGATGGGGCTGTGAGCCCAGAGGCCTCCACTCTAATGATTCTCCATTTTGGAGACTTTAAGCGAATGGGCCTCATTCTGAAAGAAAGGCGAGAGCCCAGAGAGCCTGGGACAGTGTGGCTGCAGGGGTGAAGGGCCATGACCTGCTCTTGGCCGCACCAGGAGGCCACTGTGGGCTGGGGGGAGGGAGCCCAGGCCATGGGGAGAGGCCCCGCCCCCAGCACTAATGCCTCTCGCCAGCCCCTCCTCTTACCTCCCACCCCAACTGCAGGAAACCCACAAGAGACCCACCAAGCAAAGCTGTGGTTAGTGGCACCTTCACACGGCGAGGCGCCCGCCACCTCCCTGCATCACAGGGAGGAAGAGGGGCCGGCTGGCCAAGGCCCAGGGACCCCCACCCCACTCCTCCCCACTCCATCCCTGTGCCCCTCATCCAGCGTCTTCACAGGTGGGTGTAGCTGGGTGGGGGCTGGCCAGCTCTCTCTGTTTCTGTCTGTTTCTCTCAGTCTCCCTCCACATCCCTCACCACCCTGCCCGCAGTCCAGTCTGGGATATGCAGACAGAGATGGCAAATGACACTGTGAGCCATTGCAACCATCATGTGCGCACCCCTGTGTCTCCTGTCACCCCTGAGATGGTGCTTGACCCTTCATTTCTCAAAGGACTTGTTGGGGGTGGGACAGAGAAGCCCAGAAGGCCGGATCAAGGACAACCCGTTGATTCTTGGTTCTAGTAGATTCTGCACCAACATAGGATGGCTAGACGATCCCAGGCTCATCCCCCAGCCCCATACCTGTGTCCAGCCTGAGCGTGGGAGCAAGTCCACACCTCTGCCTGCATACCTGTGGGCATGCACACAGCCCTGCGGCTGCCCAGACAATCCCCTGCATCCCCAGGAGGGCATGGCAGGACCCTCCCTCCTACTCAGCCCCTCTCTGTCCTCCCGGAGCAGGCATCTCTCCTTCACGAGACGGCCCACATTCACCAAACATTCACAGGCCTCTCAAGTGTGTCTGAACACAGACACAGCCAGTGGCTCACCTATGTGGACACTGTTCCAGGGCCTCCAGCCTGTCTCCATCCTTCCTGGATGCAGGGCCCAGAGCTCAGAGGCAACAAATCCTCCAGGCCCCCTGCCTGGCTCCTGGTGTGTCTTCCCTGTGTGGTCAGCAGCCCCTCCTGGGAAACTTCCCTGGTTCCCAAGCTCAACCACTTGGACGACCACAGGGTGGCTGTCACTTCCTGAAGACCTCTGAAGGTCCAGGGGATCCATTCTCCCTCGTGAGCACCCCAGGTGGTTTTCTGGGGTAACAGAGGTGGTCTTGGTTAACTCCTTCCTCCCAAAGAGAATAAACCCTTCCTCCCTGAGAGGTAGCAGGAGAGGCTGACATTTCCACCAGGGAGGGACAAGAAATCCTGGTCTTGGGTCCCCAAAGTGGAAATGCAGGGGCAGGTTGGGTGGTGCAGGCCTTACCCCTGATGCCAGGACCATGTCTTGGTCTCATCTCTGTGGGGCACACCTGGGTACACCTGGGCACACCTGGATGATGGACTAGGAGGGACAGAAGCCTCATCTGGAAGGTGCTGCTTTTCTGCTTCAGACCAGAGAGATGTTCTAGGAGTGGCCCCAGCTCTGGCCTCAGGCCAGGTGGGCAGGAGGCTGTAGGCCTGGCTTCTTGTTTGGGGCGTGGGTGGGCTGTGCCATTTCTGACTCCAGATGGGGAGAAATAGGCGGTGATGTCCATCTCCCCTTGGCCTCCTTTCCTTCTGTCTCTGCCCTTCTCTCTTCACAGCCATAGATGTGGCCTCCAGGATGCTCATATCACCAGCTGAGTGGGCTGAGGTCTCTCTCTGAGCCAGCACTGCCCCCTGCTCACCACTGCGGACCTCCTGGGTGGAGCCTGGTGGAGAACCCCTGGAGCAGGGCAGCCCCCAGCCCAGGACCGCACATTCATTGCATGCTGTCTGGAGTCAGAGAGGGGGTCTCCCTGTCTGCTCTGGGACCCAGCAAGCGGACCTGAGTGGCCACGACGGTCCCCTCTCCTGCCTCTTTAGGAATGAGACCTTCCAGGGCCCATAAAGACAGGTCAAGATCCAGCTCAGCAGGGCCTGAGGCCTGGTTTGTTCTGTGTCAGGGCCTTGTCTCAGGAGGCCAATACTGGTAGAAGTGGACAGAGAAGGAGTGGGTGACATTAGTGCCCACGGGCCAGGCTGCAAGCTCGGTTCATGAACGTGGGAGGGCCCAGCCAACCCCTACCCCCAAATCTCCTAAGGAGACATTGGGGGGCAGTGGCCTAGAGGCTGCTACGGCCTCGGGCTGGGTCTCTCTGCAGATCTGAGGTCTGGGCCCCCTGCCTGATGGCACTCAAAGCCTGACTCTGGGCTGCTTGGGGCTGAGTCTTGGGGGCCCCAGGGCCTCCAAAGAAAGCTGCCCTCCTGCCCGCTTTCCCCCACTGGCCTCCCCACCTCTCATCCCCCCACCAGCTTCCCCAGCTCATAAATCACCCCCACCAGAAAGGCCGAGTATGAAGCAAAGGCATGGAAAAATTCTTAACCTTGACAATTTTTTTTGCACATCATTTGAGGTTTCCTGCACTTCGAATCTGTGGGCTCGCTGCTGGGCCTGCTCCCTCACGTTTAATGGGCCCGTCCGGGGTGTGCATGCCGGCAGGGATTCGGACACGTCTGTCGTCAGCTGCCTAATGGGTTCTGAGCAGCCAGGAAGGAGCAGGCCTGGGAATCTGGCCCCTCGGCTCCATGTCCTGCTACTGCAAGTCGGCGCAGAAGAGGCCTGAGCCCAGTGCTGGCACCAGTGGTAGGTCTCATCCTTCTCACCCAGACACCTTCTTGAGCTGATTCAGAGCCACATGTCCAGCCACCAAGCTGTGCGGGGCTGTCCTGCCCACAGGCACCCGCATATGCACGTGTGCGCGCGCGTGCACACACACACACACACACACGCATGCACGCACACACATGCCAGGATTTATGGCATCCACGAGTAGCTGGAACAGAAAGTCCATTCTTGTGATGGAAGGAGGTGAGGGAAAGGCTTTCTGAAAACACCTCTGCCGGGTGCGGACGCGGAGCCTGGATGAGCTCGTAAATCCTCCGTCCTGACTCTCATTATGGGCTCGGTGGTGACATGACCAAGCACTGGCGGGACAGGGTCACCCGGCTGCACAGAAGACAGGAGTCCCGG